TTTGTTAGTTTTTTTCATTAAAATAACAAACATGTTATAGTTACCTGGTCTGTGTAATGGTTTTGCACAGAACAGCCCTGATAATTCTTTTCTTGGTCCCCCAGCTGTGCTCCTGGATTCTCTCCACTGCTAAGTGTCCACCATTGTAAACCACTTCCTATGGGGGCACTTGTGCGGGCTCACTCCTTAACTGAGCTGCTTGCACCTATTCAGACACAGTCCAGCTTGGCCCCAACCCCATTCTCTGCTCGCAGGTTTTGACTGACAGCAGCAGAAGCCAATGGCTCTCACTGCTCTAAGCCAAGCCTGTGAGAGCTGGGAGAGGAGCTGCTGCAGCCGTGCTCAGCGCTGGACCAAGATCAGGCTCAGGTGAGTATTTAGGGGGGGGCTGCAGAGGGAGCTGCATGTAAAAGGTTTTTATACCTGAATGCACAGAACATATTAAGGTTAAAAAAAAACCTTTTACCTTTATAACCACTTTAAAAGAAGTTTGGACTATTATACTTACCTAGGTGGATGCAGCACAATGCTGATCGCTCAGTTCTCCCTTCCACTTTGAGCAGAGAGACAGTCAGTTATCACTGTGTGCTATGTCTCCCCCTCTATGGAGAGGGCTGGAGCCGTTTGCTCAGGCTCTCAGCAGACCGCTGAGAGGCTTAGCCAGGTGCTGGCCCAGGCTTCTGGGTGGATCCTGTATGGTTGGGATCTTACCACCACTTGGACCAGCTGACTGACGTCAACCATCAGAGGACTTTAGCCCGCTGTCAGCTGAAAACAGGTCACAGCAGTGCAGAATGAACTGCACTCCTGTGATCCACAGAAGTACTTCTCTTTAAAAATGCAGATAAATCAGGGATTTTTGACTTATGTATGTTTGAGTACATGTTCAGACTAGCGACTCTGTCAGAGTGTTCTGTCCCTAACCAAGCTGTATTGCTCATCTGCAGTAGAGTCAACCAAAAGGTCTCAGGGAGTCTAGAAATTGGAACTGATTGCACTGAAATGTGATTCATTTTGGATATTTGACAGGTAATATGTATGTAGTTCAACTACATGCTTAGTTTTTTGCCTGAAGGTCAGCATTAACTTAGTAGAAGCCTGTGGGCCAAAGCATTTTCAAGAGACTTTCATTGAAAAGAATACAATATCCCGGTGGCTTTGCCTATAATTTATGTTCTTGCAGCACCTTCAACAAAGCTGTTGATTGCTTTCTCTGACATACAAATAGCTTGTAAAGAGAGAACCTGTATAGTTATATATGAAATATTGGTGCAGCGTGTGAAAATTAGAATTTTCATTAATAATTCCTTTCAGATAACCTGAATAATATGAAGCAATACCAGAATAAATATGAACTACATCATAGTTTATCTTTAAAATAACCAGGTGTACAAAAGGCAAAATAAAATAGAACAGGGTATTCTTTGTGCACAGAAGAACAGGAATAGGGCTAAGGAATGATATTTATCTTTGTAGAATACATTTGTCCTTTTACGACAGTAATGGGATCACATACTAGGAAGTTATGAGGACCCTTCACAACTGTTCTGTGGATGTACAGCAGAAGTGCCCTCAGGCTCGTCTACAGTTTTACAGTTTTTCTGATGAAAAAGCCAGTCATTGTAATGTTCTGCCATGGTTCAAATGAAATGTCGAGGAAACAACAGCAGTGTGAAAGGTTAGACAGTTGGATTTCACTAAAGAACAATGTGCAGGGATGCAGTACAATGGGCAGCCTTCATGATATTTGTACCTACCTCTAGCATACTCCATACTCGTAAAATCTACAATGAAGTAAACACTCTTATTGCTGTGGAATAAAACGAGGAGATATTATAAGGAAAGTTTATCAAGGAGGTTTTTGAAAATTTAACAGGTAGCCATTTTTGTGTGTGCATTCCTGGGTAGTGGTTTTCCAAACTGATTTATTGTAGTATTTGCTAATTTGTTTTCTCTTGAAACACATGCCCACCTAGGAAGTGCTCAGAGCCATGTTTTATATTTGTACTGTGCTGATTTTCAGCAACAGAAGTAAGAATTTATGTAGCAAGCTGTAAACAGATAGTAGATTTGGCTTAAAAAATATATTACTGCTCTTGTTTTTTCTCTCGCACTGCCTTGCTGTTTGCCAATGTAGATAAATCTCTCCCTATGAAGAACTCTAGGCAACAAACACAGCTTGCCAAAATAAGCCACACGAACATCTCTTTACCTGTGTTTGTGTTTGGTTTTGGATGCATAGTTAGGCAGAAAAGCTAATAAACCACAACAAATTTCTGGCTTCAATGCAAAGCCTACTTCCAACATAGGGATACTTTACTGCATTTTGATACTGTATCTATTGCATATTGTGGGCTTAGTGGTTAGCACGTCTGCATTGCAGTAAATGGGTCATGGGTTTGATACCCGCTTGCTTGGATTTCCTCCGGGTTCTCTGGTTTCCTCCCACACTCCAAAGACATGCTTGTAGGTTAATTGGATCCTGTCTAAATTGGCCCTAATATGTGTATGTATGAATGTGAGTTAGGGACCTTAAATTGTACACCCTTTGAGGGTTAGGGACTGATGTGAATGTTCAATATATATGTGTAAAGCGCTGTGTAAAATTGATGGCGCTATATAAGTACCTGAAATAAATAATAATAATAAATAAATATTGTACTCACAAATAGTGGGCACAAAAGTGCAACAATAATAATCTATTTTGTTGTTGGTGACTGTAAATGCTGGTGGTTTAGATTTTAGTGCAGTGTTCTCATATTATAAAAAAATTACATGATCGGAAGCAAGGGCCAGTAATATATAACATACAGTGTGAAGAGGCAAGTAACAAAGTGCCCTTTCATTGCTGGTCACTGGGAGGATAAATTCCCAGAATCAGCAGTATATGAAGGTAAGAATGCCCCGTTTCAACAGTTACTGGGAGGATGAATGCCCTGTCATTAGTGGTCATAGGGTGAAAGAATGCATTGGTCTAGGTGATCAGTGGGAGGAAGAATGTCATCAGCGGTCATTTAGAGAAAGAACCTGTGCCAGTGGGAAAATTACTGGGACAACCCCTGTGCTTGAAACTGAGATGATATATCTAAACATATAACTATACTATATCTATATACTATACCATATATAGTGCTACCCCCAAAGGAGCCATTGGTAGATTTGGGTCCCCTGCTCTTTCCTTGGCCCTAGTCTGAGCTCCACTCCTGCTGACACCACCAAAATACATTGGACAGGGAGTCCACTGGCAGTCACACAAGAAAGATACACAGCAACTGTAATAGCAAGAGATGTGGCTTTGAGTCTCGCACTTCTGCAGCTGAAAGGTCTCCCAGGAGCAGCCTTTTCCACTCAATGCCCGGCTTGACATTACTTTCCTTAGCTTCCCCAGCTATGCTGTACACTCTAGCCAAACCCAGTCTGGTCCAAAACAGCATAGCTCAGCATGAACTCTCACAAACTCCTTCCACTTGCAAAGTCTTTCTTCAACTCCTTGCTGTCTTCCCTGGCTTTTCCTTTCATATTCTCTCGCCCCTTGGTGATTGCTCATGAGTTCTACAGTTTAACTTCAGCTTAAGTTTGAAGAAAGTTCTGCTTTCAGCCTACAATTCCCAGAGGTTTCTGAACACCTGTATTAAGACTATGGCAAGTAAAAGTGCTGAATGCCACCATTTTGTGAATAAATATAGTTCTGCCTTCTCAGTAACAATGCATAGTGTTATATTTAGGACAGTGCACCAATATTACATTTACTAATTTCTGGAAATATGTACCATATTTCCAGTGGATTTCAGAACATGGAGGACTTTGCACCATAATCAGTGTTACCATTTCTGGATTAAGTGCTGATGGTAGTTATTTTAGAAGATGGTAAATGTGTACCTGGATTTAGTCTAGAAGTCATGTAATCGAAGTTGAGTTCCCATGTTTTCTTTTAAAAGGCTTGTTCACACAGCACTCATGTTTCCTGTAGTAAAAGTTTTCTGAATCTGTTTTCTGTTTTTCCTCATTTTTGCTTTTTACAGAAATATGACAGGGAAGAGATATTGCTACAGATGGCCTTTGTGCACCTAACTTAAATCTAGACCATTCCAGTAGGAACTGTTCCAGTTTTTTAAATTAGGAATGTGTGCTTTGTTTAATGTAACCCTATTTCCACTCTTTCCATACTATAGAAAAGGAGCTTAAACAAATGAATGTCAAACACAAGCATCCAGCCAGTATTCCTACAGATATGTAAGAGTTCATTAGCTCCAGTTTTTGTAAAATGATTGCTGTTGTCTGTCTCAGTAGAGCTCACATTGACACTGTAGTCCTTATTCAATCAGTTCTATGGCATGATAACAAAAATCAAATCAATAGATCCAAACAGGAATCTCCTCTCTTTCAATAAATAATCCAACTAATTGTGTAACACAAAATATTCCCCATGTAATTTCTCCAAAATCATAAAGTCCAGTGTCTCTGTGATTTAAATCCAATAATATAAAAGTCCAGTGTCTCAATAAAGAAGAAAAATTAAAATAAAATAAAAAAGTATATTTCTTGCAGTGTTGGTTGTTGTGAAGAACCTCAAAAATAAAGAAACTCACAATAGTGCATTACCATAATATCACAAAAAAAAAAAAAAAAAAAAATATATATATATATATATATATATATATATATATATAACACATGCACACACAAATGTGTATCATAAATTGTGCAACCTTTAAGTGAGAAAAATATATATTAAACACTTGTGAGAACCTTCCAAAAAAGAAAGGTAATAAAACACTCGTGCTCATAAATTATAAAATCATGAAGTGATCCACTTGGTGAGATTCCTACCCACACGTGACACTTCTAGTGAGTAAGGCCAATATACCCTTACCAACAGTAGATAGAACTCACGCCTTTTATATATATTAACTGGAAATCCTCCAAAGATATTTTCTCCTCCTCTCCTCATTCGCTTCCTGTTAGGATGATATTACCATGCCTTCCACATACATAGGTCTATGAAGCATGACGTACCTCCATATATGTTTAAAGTTTTAATGAATCCACTTGCATTTGGAGTTGAAAATATAAGTAGTATAAGTAGTACAAACTATTTTGGACAAACCCCACTGAGTGGGGATTACCAGGCAGTTCCCACAGTTTCCCAGGCAGTCCACACTCGAGTGTCCAGTGATTCCTCAACAAAGATGGCCGCTGTGACACTTCCGGTTCCTGCTCCTTGCGTATGACGTCACTTCCTCTTGACACGTTTCGTCACATCCGGGACTTAGTCATAAGAGAGAGCTCTCTCTTATGACTAAGTCCCGGATGTGACGAAACGTGTCAAGAGGAAGTGACGTCATACGCAAGGAGCAGGAACCGGAAGTGTCACAGCGGCCATCTTTGTTGAGGAATCACTGGACACTCGAGTGTGGACTGCCTGGGAAACTGTGGGAACTGCCTGGTAATCCCCACTCAGTGGGGTTTGTCCAAAATTGTTTGTACTACTTATACTACTTATATTTTCAACTCCAAATGCAAGTGGATTCATTAAAACTTTAAACATATATGGAGGTACGTCATGCTTCATAGACCTATGTATGTGGAAGGCATGGTAATATCATCCTAACAGGAAGCGAATGAGGAGAGGAGGAGAAAATATCTTTGGAGGATTTCCAGTTAATATATATAAAAGGCGTGAGTTCTATCTACTGTTGGTAAGGGTATATTGGCCTTACTCACTAGAAGTGTCACGTGTGGGTAGGAATCTCACCAAGTGGATCACTTCATGATTTTATAATTTATGAGCACGAGTGTTTTATTACCTTTCTTTTTTGGAAGGTTCTCACAAGTGTTTAATATATATTTTTCTCACTTAAAGGTTGCACAATTTATGATACACATTTGTGTGTGCATGTGTTATATATATATATATATATATATATATATATATATTTTTTTTTTTTTTTTTTTTTTTTTTTTGTGATATTATGGTAATGCACTATTGTGAGTTTCTTTATTTTTGAGGTTCTTCACAACAACCAACACTGCAAGAAATATACTTTTTTATTTTATTTTAATTTTTCTTCTTTATTGAGACACTGGACTTTTATATTATTGGATTTAAATCACAGAGACACTGGACTTTATGATTTTGGAGAAATTACATGGGGAATATTTTGTGTTACACAATTAGTTGGATTATTTATTGAAAGAGAGGAGATTCCTGTTTGGATCTATTGATTTGAGTTTAAGCTTTCAGGGGGTTGAAAGTTTTTTCCAATTTGGAATTAGTGTAGGTGAAAGGGTGTTTTCTGTATTCACATTTTACTTATATCATTTTCACATTATATTTATATGATAACAAAAATGTCTGCTTCTGCTGTGGGTACTCACATTTGTAACAAAGGTCTATCATATTATATTCAGTTCTAATAAAATTTACTGTTAATATCAAATCTAATGACTTCTACTACAAAAGTCTGTAAAATTCATTAGTGCATCCATTAATTCTGTACAGTGTTGTGACTCCCAGTCCGGTAGGACAAAATATACTTCATTGATGGCGTAGGCAGAGGCATGAGACCCTTGGCAGTTCAGTCATATTAATTCTACTGTATGTATCCTTTTAAAAATCCTGAACTCATTAGCAGTTCCATTAACAATAGTTCATCTAATGTTCACCATCTGTTTTCAGAGGGAATATTGGATTTAGCCTGTCTGATTATTTGTCCTCAGAATACACTCTGCTTCTTTGACATGTTTTCAGTTATTTTTTGCCGGATGCAGACCGTTGAGAATGTACTTCCTGATTTATCATTTTAGGATCAATTCACCAAATTGCATTAGTTATTTTAAGTAAGTGTGTTACTTTATTTCATTTTCTCTAATGAAACTTTTAGTTGATGTACCAAAAGGTGGGCTTAGATATAGGGTGACTGTTATTCATTTTTCTTATAAATTGCTATTTAACTACTGCAAGCCTTGAGTTTTTATTATTCATTTTTTCTTATGAGTTGATATTTTTCACTACGGTGCTTCAGCTCTCCTCACTGGAGATGTCATAAGAAAACTAAAAATTAGCTACAATCGGACACTAGAAATATTTGAAAACAAGCCTGTCATAGAACCTAAAACCCTAAAATCAATCCCCCCATACCCTGTGTTAGGCACCCTCTAAAGCTAGGTATACACATACCGAAATTTGTCTGGTTCAGTAGGAATCGGCTGAATTTCAGGAACATGTGTACCACAGACAAACAGATCCTGTGCTCCTCCTGCAGCTGCTGGCCGGCACAGCGGGATGCCACACAGTGGATAGAGCCCCGCACTCTGACAGATTATTAAGAGCAGGGGCGGACTGACCATTTGGAAACTCGGGCACTGCCCGAGGGCCCGGGGTCAGTAGGGGGCCCCATGAGATGCCCCTGGTACCTTTTTCATAGGCTTTTTTGAGTTTGGGCTAGGACACAGGGGCCCCATGATCCCCTATTGCCCGCGGACCCCATGAGTTGTCAGTCCGCCCCTGATTAAGAGCCTGTTAATTATGCCACCTTGTAAGTGTTTTTAACCGTTCTTATTAAAGCAAGTTGGAGTTACTGCACTTAGAAGCACCTTCTTGTCTCATCTCCTCACCGCGGTCAAACAGTCCTGCTGAAAAACCAGCATTCAATCAGTGCTTGTAGCCAATGGCTGCAACACTGATTTATATATTCTGCTGGGGGTGGGGGAGCACAGTTGGGGAGATTTCTGCTTCCCCATCCACATTTAGGAATCTGTCAATTTTTTTTCAGCCCACCCCCTGGAGCCATGGCAACTTGGGATGCACAACAGTGTACCATATTTATGCGTGGTGCCACACATTACTTAGTGACACATACTGTATATGCAGCATGTGTGTGTGGGAAGTACTCTTCATCAAGTGTTCTCAGCATGGAGACTGAGTTGTCATCAACAGGTAACACCTGCTCTCAATCACAGGATGACTATGATAGGCAATCACATTGATCAATAATGTTAGAACCTACCTGTGAAAAGTTTTACCTTTGTGAGAAGGATAGGATGCATTGTATCTTTTTCTCCTCACTAGAGAAGAAGTATGTGAAAAAAAAATATGTTAAAAATAAATTAATTAAATAGATCAGTGATTGATCTAGATTAGTGTCAGTGCTAGCATTAGGGTCAGCATGTTTAGGTAGGATGAAGAAAAAAGAAAAATGCACAGTGTTGACATATGTGCTATCCCTCTGTATGTAAGGATTGGATTTGAAATTTGATAAAAACAGAATTAGAGTTGTTTCTGTGATCTTTGGGGCTATTTAATTACTTCACAGTGCAAGCAGCTAGGGTGGCCAGTGATGACTTGTTTTAAAACTATTTTACTGCTTGTTAAAAATATGCCCATAGTCCAGAGATACCGCTCAATATGTAAATTTAGGTGACAGTCCTTTGTAGGTAGAAATGTGTTAATGATATTGTAGATTAACACACAGCTTTTTTTTAGGTGATATGTACAATGAACAGCTAGCTTGGAATCATACCATTGTGAGTTGTGTGACATACAAAGACATCTCAACTATTATGTTGGCTACTACCAAGCACATGTTTAGAGGGTATGAAACACTGTGCCAAAGGGCTATATACTGGATTCACAAATTTTATGAACAAGTTATGAAAAACCAAAATATGTATACATTTTTCTAAGCAGTGTTTCAATTCTGTCTCCCACACTCTAAAGACATGCTGGTAGGTTAATTGGATCCTTTCTAAATTGGGCCTTGTATATGAATGTGAGTTAGGGACCTTAGATTGTACGCCCCTTGAGGGTTAGAGACTGATGTGAATGTACAATATATATGTAAAGCACTGCGTAAATTGACGGCGCTATATAAGTACCTGAAATTAATAAATAAATACATTTCTGGGTGGTTGGCAACCGTGAGCTTGAGTGCCTCTTGATTTACAGTAGGATTAAGTTTGGCAACGCAAATCATTTGTAAGCTAATATCTCTCTTTTGCCATACCCCTTAAAAGTAAATACGTATGTAATTAATTTGTTTGGGCAGGCCTTTAGCAATACATATATTTTGGTATATCTAGAGGAGATTCTTTAATTAACCTCTTGCCCTACAGCAGATTTTACCCCCTTTATGACCAGGCCATTTTTTGCTATTTGGCACTGCGTTATGTAACTGAAAGGTTGTGCGGTCATGCAGTGCTCTACCCAAATGAAATTTATATAATTCACACAAATAGTACTTTCTTTTGGTGGTATTTGATCATCCATTAAAAAAAAAATTAAATATATAATTGCCTCATAATTGTAGGCCAAAATGTATTCTGCTACATATTTTTGGTGAGAAAAATCCCTTTTAAGTGTATATTGATTGGTTTTGCGTGAAAGCAATAGCTTCTACAAACTATGCTATATTTGTTGGAATTTTTATTTATTTTTTTCATACTAATAATTTCTGTAATCAGCGATTAATAGTGGGACTGTGATATTATGGTGGGTAATCTGAAACTAACTGACACTTTTGACACTGTGGGAACCAGTGACACTAATACAGTGATCAGTGCTAATAATATACACTGACACTGTACTAATGACACTGGCTTTGAAGGGGTTAATATCTAGATGCCCTCATAGGGTTAACTATATGCTTAACAGTGCTTGGTGTATTCACTGTGTGCAGTTTTTTTACTAGGGTAGGTCCCGGGTGTTATCCCCTTTTATGCAGGGAAACAAAAATCTGCACATTCCTGCTGAAGGAGAGAGCTCTGTGTTGTTTGCAGTCACAGTGCATGTCCTGTCTTCCTCTTCACCGATCAGTGGGTCCCAGCTGTCAGTCATTGATCAGGACCTGCTGATCGGCTTGTGTTTTGACTAACTAATCACTGCACAGCCAGGGCGGCGGGCATAAGAAAGGCTGAATCATGTATTAGATATGTGATCCAGTACAGGAGAGCTACTCTGCCACCATACTTATATGTGAGGCAGTTGGCAAGCAGTTAAAGATTGTACAGATTGCAACATGTGTGGCAAGCTTTATACCAGGGGTGTTCAACCTTTTGAAGAGTGTGGGCCACTTAAGTGATTTGTTCACCATTTGTTGATTACAATGAAATGAACTGGTTCGGAATTTAGATTTTTTTTTTTATTTTGAAAAGCATAATGAAGATTTTAAAACAATCAGGATCATCATTTTCTTTGTGACCAATCACCTTGGGATTTTTACCCACTGTTTAATCACAATAACAAAAATCTAATTTTTTAAATGATCAAGATCACCATTAATCCCACTCTTGCGCTCAGCTATGACCAGCCAAAAAA